TCATCTGTTCTATATGAGCTAGTGGCGTAACCCAGCTTTATATATATATATATATATATATAGATGTGGAAGCATCTACGCAACGCCTATAGGTGAAGTTTTACAGTACTAGTATTTGAATTTTTATAATTATTGTACTAATCAAATTTATCTAAAATTTGGGGTGTGTCTACATATAACCAATTCACACCAAAATAAAATATTAAAAAAAAAATAGTCATAAAATAAAATGACGAAATTACCCTTGAAACTTTATAGTGGTATTTTGCATAATTTTTATCATTCAAATTATTTGTTTTATATTTTATTCATGTGCATCTTACTAAGCCTCACACACCTAAAAAATTTCTGATCAATTATGATTTGTAAAAAATATATTAAAATTCAAACACTATCTGACATCTGTGGTCGTGTGATGAACTTTTAACGGTGATAAAGTCATAGGTGAAGTAGTGTAGAACTTCATCTATAGGTGTTTTGTAGTGTTTTCCATATATATATATATATATATATAGTTTAAGAAGGGTGAGGACCTTAATCTTTCTCTTAACCCGTCCCAAGCCCGGGTAAAGAAAGTGGGTTATGTTAGTTAGGCAGCCAACATAAAACTTTGCCAAAACATTTCATGAATTCTAAATCTATGCTATCTGCTTATGCCACCTCCTAGCCACCACTACTACCACCACTACTATGCCACTACCACTACCTGGCTGCCACCACCACCATCATTGTACCACCACCACCACCACCGACCACCAGCCTATTATCCTCATGAACTACCTGCCCCCACCACCACCACCACCACCACCAGCCTACTATCCTCATGAACTACCTGCCCCCCACCACCACCACCACCACCATTCTATTACCTCCACTCCTCTGCCTACCTGCCACCACCTCCGCCACTCCACTACAACCTCCACTGCCACTGCCACCACCACCACCATCACTACTCCACCCCCATAGCACCACCATCACAACCACTACCACTCTACCAGCTTCACCACAGCCATCACTACTATAGCCTTGCCGCCGCCACCACTTTCACACTATACCACGACCATCACACTGCCACTACTACCACTACCACCATCACACCACAAAATAACATTTTATAATTCAAATTGTAACAATCAGATACTCAGAGAGCAATTGACAATTGACCAAATTGCTATTTGATCAAAATGCAATTTGGAGGGGGGAAAAAACAAAAAAACACTATTTGATAAACTTTTGCTATCAAACTGTCCCTTAGTATTTCTGAGATGTTTATTTTGTGAGATATGTCTTTGACTAGTTTTTCTCAGGAACCAGCATATTAGCCTTGGTTAAGAAACTTACATATTCCAAACCATTAGTAACTGTTTTCTTGCTTTGTGAAGGAAAAGTAAAATCAGTTGAGATTGGAGTGTTTTAGGTTCCTTTAAAAGCATTGGGTTGATTGGTTTTGTGCAGTAAGTGTTATGTCATTTTATTTTATACTATTTCTTTTTCTTTACAGATCAAATGCCATAATGTGATAAGCCTTTCTTCAACAAATGAGGACGAGTTGGACAAACAATGGGGTTGTCTGCTGGAAATGAATGCAAGCAGTGGCCTCATAGAGCTAATGGCACCATTTGGGTCAAAGTACTTGTGTACAAGACTTTCTGATGTATGCCCCATTGTTTTCCTGTCCTGGCTTACTTGGCACGATGCTATCGATTATCCATCTCATTTGCAGTATTACTTTATATTTGAACCTAGGCACATGTTCTTTTCATGCCTTATTCTGCCTTCTGGAATCCTTGTTTTCATTGAGATTAATCGCATTTCTAAGAAGACAATGTATCTGGTATGCTATTAAGGGTTTATTACTGATGTTCTATGATCCATATACCAGTGTGAGAAAGTGCGACTCGGACCGAGGAATTAGTCCTGGCCCGAGTCGATTTCTCTGGCCGAGTCTGAGTAACTCGGCCGATTAGTGCCAAGTACTGTAGCAGAAGAAAAAATTCCAAAAAAATAGAAAATGTATGTTTAAAGTAAGACTAAGCAAAACACTTCAAAATGATGTTAAAAAAATAGTAAAACAATAGATTTTAAAAAATCAACTTGTGATTAGGGTTATTTTCTAAATAATTCAAAAAAAAAGGGAAAATGTCAAGTCAGTATTTATGGCCAAAACACTTTCTAATCTTTGCCAAAATAATAGAAAACATAAAAAACAACTCAGGTTCGGCAAGGGCTCTAGCCTGAGTACGCGACCAAGTAGAAACTACTTGGCCGATTTTGCGAACATTGATATATACTGTGCATTACGTTTTAGACTTTGACTTTGACTTTGACATCTAACACGATTCAGGATGTTGCTAATCAATAAAACATCATCATCATCATCTAAACCTTATCCCAACTATTTGGGTCAGCTACATGAATCCTGTTCCACAAATATTGCATCAGGATTTATGAAATAGATGTGGCACAAATTTTATGCTGCCTGTCAACCTAACACAACCCTCCTCCTTTTTCTGGGCTTGGGACCAGCATGACCTGCTTGGTGATCAATAAAGCATGATTCATAATATTATGTTTGTTGAAACTTTTATTCCTTCACACTGAAATGTATGAAACGTTTTCATGGAAGTCTCATCATATTACCTATTATGGTCTACATCATGCAGGTAGCGCTGGCTCAACCATTGTCAAAGCTTTGTCTTGAGTTTCCAGATCTTTATATTGGTACAAGTGCCATCATTTCAATGCTTAACAGAATCTGATCAAATAAATTATAGCTACATCAATATGAATTTGGAAAACGTGGAATTTATGTATCTTTGTGGCATGTTTGTAACTTTTATGCTTTCTGCTCTGTGTAGGTTGTTATCGCAAAGCCAGAACTGGAAGTGGATCGACCATCATTAGTTTTATGGGAAAGGTCAGTTTTAACAGATGAATAAATTTTAAGTAATTGTGAAAATGTCATCACTCTCGAATCAGAGTGTACCTTTGCGTCCTATTTATAGCACTCAAAAGTTCTATAAACCCATGTACTTTTCAGAAAAGGAAGCATATACGCTCAACTTGCTTTACATGCAGTTATCCTAACCTTGTTGTACATTGAGGAAAAAGGATTATAAGAATCTGTTGCAAATGAACAACTCTTCCTTTTCTTGCCATTTTGATTATTGGATGCTCATTGCACCATTTGAGTTGACAAACCGAAATTAGTGCTGAATCTTGATTTAATCATGAAATACTAATTTCCTACACTTGCATCTTAATAAGTAGGGGTCATAAGTAGTATTAAATGGTATAGAGCAATTTCAATAGCTGACTGTAACTCATAGAACAATCATAAAGGTGAAAAGCATTAAGTGCCGTACCTTTATGTTTAATACCTTTGCCCTTTACCTTGTAAATAACAAAAGTTGATATTTTTCTCAAATGAAGTATTTTTAGAATTGACCGTCTTCTGCATGGCTTGCAGAACCAAGCAAGAGTAGATTCAGCGGTGGACAAACTTTGCAGTATGTTTTTTCCATCGGCCTTCTCAGAAACTGAAAGTGGCTGACCTTTTGCTTCTATATTGGCATTAGAAATTAGCCTGAGGATGATCGGGGGAAGTTTTAGTGCCATGTGAACAGAACCGCAGCAGTCATCACCTATCAAATTCTACTTGTGGAGATGTCTCAGAAAGTTTGCCCCCCATAATGTTTAAAGTAAAAATGATGGGCTCATCATCAGCAAAGACGAGCTCTCTGGTACAGATATTCGCTCTTTGACAAAATGGTTTATTTAATTGCTGCTTCAATTAATTAATTGAAACAGTTTGAAGTCCTCAATTAGTTCAAAAAATAATTAAAAGAAAAAGAAGATAAAGGTCTCTCAATCCCTCTACTCATGACCTTGAGCTTTGGGATTAGTACTTGATACTTTGATCTATGACTACTTCGCCGAATCAATTGGAATGTACTTGTAAACCTGGAGATTATAACTCCATTGAGGTGCCCAAATTCAGTGAATTTTGGATCAAATAAAAGGGGTTAGCAATATGTTACTTGCGTATGTTGTAATCAACATTTTACATTTATTGAAGTTGCACTCACTGCTCTCTCTGTTTTATTTTTGGCATTATTTTTGGATGCATGGGCTAAGGTTGCAAACAATAAACCCAAAACCTCAGCTGAGTCAAGGTATTACACGCTTTATCATTGCCCTTTGGGAGAATCTGAGCTTCATAGTTTCTTAATTTCCTTTTTAGTTATTTATTATTGCGGATAGTTAGGAATTGGGATTGGAAAACTATAATATGATAAATGCAGATCAAGAAAATTTATCTACAATCTTAATTGTGAAATTTGAAGCTCTTAAAATGGTGCAAATTGAGATTTATAAACACTTGAAAATTTGAAAGTGAATAGTTCAGATGATTTGTTACAAAAGGAAAATTATTTCATGCGGGTTTGACCACATTTCTACAATATGCGGTCCCAAGTTATAAAGCATCCATCTTAAAGATAGGTGCAAATAAGTGGTCCATCTAAAAGCAATTGAAACCAACGGTCCCAATTGTTTTTTAAATAGAAATATTATTTTTAATTTTCAAAATTTATTTATTTATTATTCATGATCTCCAAGTTAGATATTACATGTCCTTAAAATTTAAATCCAAAAATATCTGAAAAATAGATTTTTAAGAGGTGACTCATTTTTACAATGACTCATAGAAAGGTGCAGTTGGCATAAGGATGCATCCGTAGCTGTAGAGGTAAGGTGCACCTTCAAATTTTATCATGGTATACAATTTTGATGTAAAATGTTCTTAGGATTATCTCAAAATCTATTTTTATATTTAATTATGAAATTTTAAATTTCTAAAATGGTTAAAATCACGTGGATCTCTAAACATATGAAAATCTTGAAAATGGACGGTGTAGATAATATGTTGTAAAATGCACTATTTTTTAGACTTAAAATCTTTTTATGTTTTATGGTCAAACATCTCGACATTGAGATGATCAATCAAAGGGTTTTTCAACATTAAAACTACCTTTTGGATGGATTTTTGAGGTGAGTCGCATTATAAGGTTGCAACCTCATAAACTTTTTCCCTTATAGAAATCGTGCCTATTACAACATGCATTATTTTTAAAGCTTGCAATGATTTCTTTTTTGATATTCATACATCCAGATCCAGATGATCAATTGGAAGATTGTCAGCATGAGCACCACCTCTTTTTATGGGTTCCACATTACTTTTACCGTATAATGTCACCTCAGATGAACTTTTTCCTTAGTTGAGTTTTGCATTGGGATCCAGTCTCCTCCATCATGGTGTTAATTTTATGGTCATAGATTGTGGGGGACCCATTGAGAGCTCTTTTTTGTCGGAGAAATAGTGAGTTCCATATCAATAAATATCAGCCGTTCATTCTATGTACGTGGTCTGGGAAACATTGCATTTGTTTTCGCAAGTACTTAGATGCACATCCATTGATGAAAACATGGAATTTTTCTTAATTTGGAAAGTGGATATTCCATGTTTACTGGAATAATGATATTGAAACAAAGAACTTTCATGTTTCTTGGTAACAATATGATCTTAGATGAACTTCAAACTGTCAATGTCTTCAATTTATTTTCCGTAAAAGCATAAACTTGAAAGTGTTAAAAGGTCAAGACCCCTTGTTATGTGGAAAGAAGGTTGTCCATGTCTACTGCATTGACATTTGACTGTCGAAAGCACCTACATTTCAAAAACTCAATCAATCTTATTTTTGGATGAGGTTTATATAAAGCCCCCTCTTTATATTATAGAAACAAGGTGCACATCCTAATTTTGTCTTGAGATGTAGTTTTGGCATTGGAAATCACGATGGTTTGGAAATCCATTTTAATTCATAGTAATGAAATTAAAAAGTCTTAAAATGGTACATATGAGTATATTTATAAATACTTGAAAATTCTGAAAATGGACGGTCAAGATAACTTGTTACAAGATGCAGTATTTTTAGGATTGAAAATTCTCTTTTTTTCTTCACATTTTTACATCTCTAGGTCAAGATGATCGATTTAAGGGTTTTCCAACGTCATAATACTCTAGAGAACTTTTGAAGTGCATCTTAAACCTTGTAAATTTCTTTTCTTTTCTTTTTCTTTTTTTTTAATTAAATTAATCAGATGGCGGTTTGTATGATTTTTGTTTTTATAAGTCCCCATTACATGATATCTTGGGTTTCGTCAACAACGAAAAAATGGAGAGTGTGAACATATAGAGCAACCGGCAAGTGCATGTGAACCGATATAGCAACCTACAAGTGCATGTGAACGGATATAGCAACCTGCAAGTGTACGATTGTATAATAAAATCATATAGCAACCTGTATGTGCTTGGTACTGTTGTAAATAAAATTTTTACTGACGTCCAACATTGTGAAACTTGCAAGTTTGCTAAATCTCATGCTTTACCTTTCTCTCGAAATAATTCCATTTCATTTTCTATGTTCGATCTTGTTCATACTGATGTGTGGAGCCCTGCACCTATTCTATCTAAAGGGAGATCACGATATTTTGTAACTTTTATTAATGATCACACTCGTTATACGTGGGTTTTCTTTATGAATAATCGTACTGAATTTTATAAAATTTTCATTCAATTAATTCATATGTAGAAACTCAATTTTCCACCAAAATTAAAGCCCGATGCTCAAATTCTAGAGGGGAATGTATCAGTGGTTGCTTCAAAAAAAAAATTTGTTTACAAAAACATTCAATACCAAAAAACATGTTCTTACACTTCAGAATAACATGGTGTCGCAGAACGTAAAAATCACCATATCTTATAAACCACAAGAGCCCTTCATATGTCTACATCTGTCCCAAAAGAATTTTGGGCAGAGCTTTTTTTTCAATGCAATTTATCTCATTAATATCATACCATCCTCCATTTTATATGGAGAGTCACCCTTCAAAACATTGTTCACTCAATTATTCCCTTTTGTATGTGTTCGGCTGTACTGGTTATATACTGTTATCCTCAACCGAGAGAGGCAAGTTGTCTCCCAAGACCGTCAAATGTTGCTTTATAGGTTACCCTGATCGCCAAAAAGGATATCAATACTATGACTTTGTGACCAAAAGACTTTGGGTATCCCGACAAGTTGTGTTTTCTGAGCATATTTCACTTTTTGAAAATAGAAATAGTAACTCATCCTCTCACCTTTCTTTTTTGGTCCCCTGTACTGATTCTGTTCCAAATTCTTCTAAACATTCCACTTTTGTCCCTCAACTTGAAGACCTGGAAGAAAACTCAACAAACTCATGCTGACAGTCTTGATCAGAACCCTGCACTTGTTGATCCTATGTCGTTTCTTGCTCTTAGGTGAAGCCCGACTTGTTGACTATGAAACCTTTTTACCTCAGCATCGAGCCTTTTTTGCTTTTGTTTATTCTTATTCTGGACTGCAAATTTACAAAGAAGATGCAAGTCAACTTGAGTGGCAACAAGCATTGACAAATGAGCTAAATGCTCTTGATTGCATGGATGCTTGGGACCTTGTACTCTTCCGAAAGGAAAGACTGATGTTGAATGTCGATGAGTATATAAAATTAAAACAAAAGCAGATGACAACCTTGAACGATACAAAGCTCACCTTATGGAAAAAGGTTACAACCAACAATATGGCATTGACTTTGCTAAAACTTTTAACACAGTGGCCCATATGACTACTGTTCATACACTGATTTCAGTAGGTGTCTTTCAGCAATGGCCCTTCTATCAATTAGATGTTAAAAATGTTTTCTCAATGGTGATCTTGTTGTGGAAGTATAAACGAAGTTACTTCTTGGAGTTATGGACTCTAAAAAAAGGGTGTGTAAACTTCAACATGCCCTACATGGACTAAAACAAGTACCTCGTGCTTGGTTTGAGAAATTTCACAATGAAGTCCTTTCTGTTGGATTTCGACAGAGTCATCACAATCCAGCCCTCTTCATCTCTAAAATCCTGAAGGGCGAGCCCTCTTGTTACTATACGTGGCTGACATGAATATCTCTAATAATGATATTAGCCCAATTCATAAAATCAAACAGAAGCTCAATCGTACATTTAAAATGAAATATTTGGGTTTCTTACGTTATTTTCTTGGATTACAGGTCACCTATTCCCCTCGCCGTTATCTGCTTTCACATCTAAAATATGCCTAAAATATTATTTTCCAAGCTTGACTAAAGGATCGTACAAAGAGAGTTGATACCCCTATTGAAGTGAATGCCAAATTTCGGGCTACAAATCGTGAAGCTCTCCTTGATCCAACCTTTTATAGACAACTGGTTGGAAAACTAATATATCAGACAATTTCACACCCAAATATTGCTTATACAGTTCGTACGGTAAGTTAATTTCAGAGTGCTCCGCGTTATATTCATCTCATTGTTGTCTTGCGCATCATTTGTTATAACTGGTATACCTTTACCATGCTTTATTTTTGTCCTCTTCTTCCTCACTTGAGCTCTGGGCCTACACAAACTCTGACTTTGCAGGGAATCCTAGTGATTACAAATCTACAATAGGGTTCTGTATTTTTCTAGGTGACTCTCTTATATCATGGAAAAGCTAGAGAAAAAAAAGAATTGCTCAACGTACTACAAAAGCTGAATATAGGGCAATGGTATAAACTACCACTGAGATTGTTTGGCTACGTTGGCTATTCGAAGACATGGGTGTCACAATTTCTACTCTTACTCCTCTTTATTGTGACAACAAGAGTGCTATTTACATTTCAAAAAATCCGAAATTTCATGAATGCACCCAATATATTGAAGTCGATTGTCATTATGTTCGACAATAATATTTGGCGGGCACAATTTCTCTGCCTTATGTGTCTTATGTCACTCAACTCGCATACTTCTTTACCAAATCTCATCTTCCACATCACTTCTCACAATGTGTTTCCAAACCCTTAATGATTTCTTTCAAATCATCTCGAATTTGAGAGGGAGTGTGAACAGATATAGCTACCTGAAAGTGCATGTGAATAGATATAACAACCAGTTAGCACACGATTATACACTAAAATCATATAAAAGCTGTATCTCGTAGATTTAACAAGTATTTATGTA